AATATTTCACTAGCTGTTCTCAAGCTATCATACAAAATGGCAGGTACTAAGTTGCTACAACATTTCCCAAAAAGCTATTACATATTCCAGGAATGCTTAGATTTTGGTATTGCAAAATATAGTCATTTCTGAATTAAAACTAGAAATGGTCTAAAATAATTTCTTACTTTTCCTGATGTTTTTATTCCTTTAGCCAGGGAAGCATAGACAATAGCCCAAGCTAGAAAGAGAGCCAGTACCAAAGGCCACCTGATTTCACCAGGATATTCAATTCCTGCAGAAATCTTCAACACAAAGTACCTAAGAGCCAAAATGTCAGTAAGTCATGACCATTTGTGAATACCTAGCATCAGCATTAATTAAAGTTGCTGGAGCATTTAAGATTCTATTCTTTTACTTGTTCATTATGATTTTTTTAAAAATAAAAACAGAGAATACTTCACAGTCATTAAAGTCAACTTACAAAGTCCCATTGTCTTCTAAGATACATCTATCTTATAATTTAATTTAACATCCATTGTAAAAATGTTAACAAAAAGGGGAGAACATAGGAGGGGAAGAGATAGGGGAGGGCAGGGCAGGGCAAGGGAGAGGAGGGGACAGGAGGGAAACTCCAACTCTCTAAATGATTAGAACCTTTCAAGATTTACCATATTTTTCAGAGTATAAGACGCACCTTTTTCCCTCAAAAAAGAGGCTGAAAATCTGGGTGCCTCTTATTCACTGAATACAGCGCTTTTTTGCCTCCCAAAACCCCGCCCCTTCACCAAAATGGCCCTGCAGAGCCTGTAGAAGGTTTTCAGAGAGCTCCTGGGGGCTGGGGAAGGCAGAAATAAATGAAAAACAGGCCATTTTTGCTCAATTCCCCCCCCCCCGCAGCCCCCAAGAGCACTCTATAAGCCTCTTAAACATGCAATTTTTTTGACCAAAAAACAGGCCCGTTTTTGCAAAAATCTGGCTGTTTTTTGCTTTGGGGGGGCTTACCCCTCAGGAGCACTCTGCAAGACCCCTAAAGGCTAGCCATGTCTTCTTTGGGAGGTTTGCATAGTGCAAAAACTTTTTTTTTTATTTGCCTCTTCAAAACCTTGGTGTGTCTTAAACTCCAGTACGTCTAATACTCCAAAATACGGTACCTATTTCATGAACAAATTTCATGAAGTCACTTTTTCAGTAACTAGATTCCTGTATCATTTCCAGATCTTGTTACTGATTACAATCTGTTTTCCTAAGTAGAAATGTATTAAAATGATCTCAACTTGAAATTTATTCAGATGGATTCCAACAAACCTTGGACATTTTATGAGTTGATTTTATGACTCCCACCAAAACTGTGGCTCCTTTGCAATATAGAAGTAATTAAGAGCTCATTTCTTCCAAACTCACAGTGCTGCTGTTTTTAATATACACCAAAGCTGAGTGCAATGAAAGTTTCAGAGACAGATAGAATGCAGTGAAGAACATTTCATGATAAGTCTAATCAAACTAAAAGCTAATTACTGAGCCCATCCTTTGGTAAAGGGGAAGAACACTTTTTCTCTACCATTACTGTATCCTAACAATATAATCTATCAGACTTTTCCAAGAGTTTATTACTAAAAAAAACAACCAAATAGATTCTCAATGAGGCTGTCAGGCCTGCAATTATATTCCTTTTAGAATTTTGGCCTGCCACACTTTCTCTTATTTCATTATGTTGTTTTCATTAGTATAGTTGATGGGAGGGGGAATAGATAGGAGTGAGATTGTGGAATGTACTGTTATGATTCTTTTCTAGAAGCTCATCTTTTGTCTCCGTACTTTCACACCTGACCAGAAGCAGCTGGGTGTGGATGCCAGCGTGGAAGAAGAAGATTGGACCATGTGATGGAATGTGGGTATGGGGACAAGATCATGAACTTTTAACTGGGTGAAATTCTGATGTCACTTCCAGTATTGGGATTCCATAGCACGATGCCAACATGTCTGTCTTATTAAATTGAAACTTTAAGGATAGCTCTGCCTTGGACTCTGATTTAATTCTGCATGATATTTGGAACGCTATTGTAACATGCTTCCAAAATATTTTGAGATCAAAATCTCTTAGGATTATCACAATTACAATTATTAGATTTTTATCCCAATATAGATATATGATATATAGTAAAGTAAAGGTGGTGAACAACCATGATACTCCTGTCTCTTAATTTCCTCACAACAACCCCCATACGTAGGTTGAGCTGAGAGGGCGTGACTGACCCAAAGTCACCCAGCTTGCATTCATGCCTAAGGGAGGCCTATAACTCACAGCCTTGTGGTTTCCAGTCCCGCAATTTAATATCTACACCAAACTACCTCTCTGGAACCTGAATCTGGTTTAAATATCATGGAAATATCTAAGGATATCACGAATTCTGGCTTTTGAGTCTTAATATAGGGGCAAGGTACTTTGCAAATTCAACTATTTTTTTATGTCTACCACTCCTCACCCAACTCCTCCCCAATAATATATATTACATCTAGCAGGAATATCCAGTATTACTTTGGTGCTAAGGCAGTGGTACCCAATGTTTCCAGTTCTGTGGACCAGTGACAGTGGGCAGCAGGGGAGAAGAGGGGATAGTGTTTCACATGCGCACCACTTGCACAAATGAAGCTTTGGGTGGTCACCCTTTTGCACGCCCCAGTTTCTAATGGGCCATGATGCTGTACCGAGATGTGGAACAAGGGTGGGGACCCCTGCTCTTTGGAATTAACATTGAAGCAATGTTTAGGAAATGTAGTCACATTAGTTAAAGTAATATTCTGATCACTGAATGCCAAGCATGTTTTGAATCCAAAACCAGGACTTGTTTTGCCGACACATGTACAATGATTAAATAACCTTTGTCCGAATATTAGCATCGCTTCATATTAATCAATATAAACAGAGATTAGATATGCAAAAAAATCATATAGCAAAACTAGAGGAAAAGCATATAGACAATATTGCATTATTCTTTTCACTTGTTTTGACTGAGAGTTTCAGTATATGGCTTATCATACATGGACTAGCACTATTTCTTACCATTTCACCTAGATTAGTAAAACACAATAAAATATAAATGTTAAAAAGATCTATGCCCACATACCAATGTCTAGGCCAGTGATGACGAACCTTTTGTGGCTCGCGTACCAAAAGTGGGGGGAGCGCAGGGAGGTTTCGTGCATGGGCATGCCACACCCGTAATGCTATGCACATGACCCCAGCACACATGCATGTATGACCAGCACTCCCCCACCCATTTTTGGTGTGCTTTGTTCACCCTCCCCAGGCTCCAGAGGTTTTATAAGAGCCTGGGGAGGGTGAAAACAGCCTCCCTGCCGCCCAGAAGCCCCTGAAGCCTCCGGAGTGCNCACACACACACACACACACACACACACACACACAATTTACAATCGATTGGAAATGAAAAATTCCTTTTTATTCCCTGTATCTGAATTTATACTTATTTACCAATACCATGTCTGATTTGTTAAAAAAAAAAATCAGTGACAAGTTTATTTACACAATAAATATGTACCATATACCTCATCAAATTTTACTCCTCCAATAGAAATACGACAACAAAACTGATTCTGTCAACATTTTAATGACATATAAAGATAAATACATTGTTTCTGTCTTGTCCTTCACCATGCTAAGCTGTGCATGCATTAAGCATGCATTGATATCAAGATCTCTTTCAGACTCTATCTCAAAGCAATGCATTCATGATTTCATACTGGATGCAACTGCAGTCACATACCCAACAGCAATAAGGAATTCAAATAAAGGTGGGTTTTTTTTTCCTTTTTGGTACAGCAAAACAAAACAGCATATCATTGCCGAATTGATTATTATTAGTTCACAACACTGTGACATCACAGCTGCCAGTTCTTTAAATGCTGCTGGCCTTCATATACATTGAGTTCTTCCCAAGAGCCCAATGTAAAATGTATCAGCATAGCTTATATGTGATCTTTGCAAATGACAGGTGCAGAGTTTGTTAATATGCAGATTTTCTAAGTAGTATCCAATATTTTTTTGTATGACACACGGTGTGCTGGAACTACCACAATTTCAATTTTCCGATCTTAATGCTTTGTGATCTTTTCCAATTCTTTGTCTTTTGTTCTACTATCTCCTGGTAATGCCTCATCAACTATCATTTGATGATGGCCGTGATCATAATGATTTACTCACACAGGCCTTGGAATTCCTGTCTTGAGCACGTACTACTTTTCTCTATTACTTGTTATTGGATTTTCTTGTTATTCTTAATTTGTTATTTTAAATTGGGTAAATAGGAAGGAAAGTATATAAATGTTTAAATTTATAAGAGAACAGAGAGAAGGATGGAGGATCAGCTGTTGAGCAATTTTAAAGCTGTTCTTCTCAGTTGTATACGAGCTTACCAATTAAATTAAATCAAATATTCTATTCTTATGACACTGGGAGCTTTTTCTTTATCTGAATTTGGAATTAATGCAACGACCAGAATTATTAATGTGCTACTGATACCGTAAAAATAATGGCACAGTAATTATAGCAGTGAAAATCACAAATTATCTTTGCTGCTTCAGAGCGTTCCTGACCTATTTCTCAATTACAAAGCTTTCTTTAACAGAGATTATGCATGTGCTGTATTTCATGCTGCTATTCTTGACTCTTGACACTCCTCTACATTGCTTTCAACCCAACCTATTTATAATTAGGGCAGCCATTCAGGAGGAAATAGGACACACTAACCCCAGTAGTCTCATGATTTTTTCTATCAGATCTGCAGTGCAAATATTCATACAACACTAAATGCAGTTTTTGAGTACCATCCTGTCTTCCAGATTTTGCAACTCATGTCTGGTAGTCTTACTTTGAAGTTCTAGTGACAGATTGATGCTATACATGACAATAACAGAGATGACATCAAACATCATTCCAGAAGTACCTGGATTTATCTTTGCCATCTAATTATTGAAAACATTGCTGAATGTTCGCAAGTTACCTGTATAGATTGTTATGGAATTTGTTATAGGAAGACAGAGTAATCAGACCACCCCATGCAGCAGATAAAGAGAAGAATATCTGAGTAGCAGCATCTTTCCATACCTTTAAAAAAAGATCAATAGAGAAAATTAGGTTTTTTTAAAAAAAATAGAAATAGCAATAAGAACAGTTAATGTGATTACAAACAAAGCTACCAATCATGCCATATGTAAGTTGTGTGGCAGTACTATGAATCAGATTGATCCAATAGGAGAATTCAGGAACTATCTGTAGTAACAGATACTTGAATGAAGAAGCAATATGATCTATTTAATTGCCAGATCTGGAAGAAGGGTTGTCTTTAGTCTGCACTGATAGCTGGCTTTATGAACTTCACTACATGGATATGCAAACCAACAATGAATGGACAAAACAGATGTGATTAAATATTTAGCTCCTAGTGGACAATATACATAATTGTGTATGTATGTATGTATGTATGTATGCATGCATGTATTTGTGTATACAGTATGTGTACACACATGCACACACATACACACACACACTATACAAAGATAACAAGTTTTGGGTTCACCCAAAAGTAATAAACTCTTATCACCTAATTGCAAGTATTTGAGCTGCTGCTATAAAGCAGTGTCATGTATGTGAAGGGTATGTGTCTTGAAAGGGTAAAGAAAAAGGCAAAAATGCTGTTATCACTAAGGAATCTAATCATTTTGAGATATATGCATGACTCCCAATGTTTATATAATTCCAATATGTAACATATATCCTGGAGTTAACTTCTTTTATGAATGAAGTCAAATATACAGTATTTGTCCCAGGATAATGTTGCAGGAGCCAATCAGAATTAGTCACCAGGACCAGAGGTTTAGTATTCCAAGCTTTTGGACTTGTGTTGGAACCCATCCTCAAGGAACTTCTCTCTAGCAGAATGTGTGCTTTGGTTTGTTCTATGTGTAGTATTTATGGGGTGGCTTGTTATGCGTGGCTTTTTAGTTGTGGTTTGTGGTGTTAATGGCTGGATATTAAGTTGTTGGTGGTTGTTTCCTTGGGCTGCAAAGCTCTCTGCTTCCTAAGTATCTGATAAGTTAGTAGTAAATCAGCACTCCTGTTGACGGGCAAGGGGCCCATTTCCCAAGCTTCAATCATTTCCCTGGCTATTTTTGTCCCTGCTTAGCCAACAATCTTAGTAGCTGCAAAATTTCAAAATTATCAGTCAACAAGAGTGCTGATTTACCATCAGCTATCATGTACCTTGGAGCCAAAGGCATCACAGCACAAGGAAACAGTAGCCAACCAGCTATTAACACCCCAATAAAAAAAAGCCACACACAACCAAGTATTACAATGATACTACA